GGGGCAGCCGCTGGCAATGGAAACTTGGCAAATTTAATACTGATACAGGAGGGTTTTCCTTTACACAGCAAAAATTAACCCGCGGAGGTCAGCGGGATAGCGAGGAAGCCGGGAGCCTACCAGGATTTAATAAAGACACGTACAGGGAAAATGGACAGATAAAAAACACCGGCGGGGACCGGAGTCCTCCTACGTCAGGGCTCGGCCGCGGTCGCTGTACATTGGGGGTTTTTTTCCTTAAAAAAAAAAAAAATAAAAAGCTTTGCTCAGGGGGTTGGTGCACCCGGACAGCAAAGGCGACCCCGGGATTTTAAAGTTTCATTTGTCGTTTGGTTTTTTTTTTTTGCATCGTGGCTCGGGGAGCGCCCGTGTGTACCCCAACGCGGCTCCCCATCTCCCGTGGCCAGGGAGCACCGTCCCACCAACCCTCCGTTTTGGGTCTGGTTCAGCTCTCCGGGGAGCTGGAAGGCACTTTGGGACCCCTGAAGAAACAGGGGTGCACCCAGAAAAATGGGTGCAACCCGGGGATGCCGCCGCCGCCCCATCGAGGGGGTTCAGCTCATCCCGCTCTTGGCCGCGGCACCCGAGCGGAGGCCGTGCCTGGCCGTCACGTCTCGGTGTATTATACGAAGATTAAAAAAATAAGAAATAATTACAAAAAAACCCCAACCCCCTATTGGCACAAGTGTTTGTAAGCTCTACGTACCATCTAGCCACGGGTGGGGGCAGAGGGCGAGCGAGGGGTGGCAGTGGGTCCCAGCTCCCCGGGACGCGGGACAAAGCTCACCAAAATCTACCCTGACCTACGTTAGCCCGCTGCCCGGTACCGCCGTCCCGGGGCGGGGGGGCGGCCACCCGCTCCCGTCCCCGTCGGTGGCGAAGGCAGCGTCCCCCCCCCTTCTTAAATCCCTGCAGGACCTGGGTGGGGTTTGTTCCACCAACACTCCGTTTCTCTTCTCCCAGCGATGCCGGGGCGGGGGGACACCCCAAAACCCTTCTGCCGGCGTCTTGCCAGGCTGGGACGTGCATCGAGTCTGTCCAGGTGATGTGGGGAGTAATGCTGTCCTCCGAGGGGAGAAATCAGCCGCGGCCGGGCCGGAGGGATGCTCGGGACCAGCGCCGGCAGGACGGAGTGGGCTTCGGCGTCCCCTCGCAGGCTGCCCGTGCCGGACGAGGCTTCGGGTCTCGCCCCAGGTGTCCCCGTCCCCTCACAATGTCCCGCCGGGCTCAAAAGTCCGAATCGGCATCCAGCAGCTCCGCGTCCACCAGGTTGGTCCGAGAGTGGATGGGGGCCAAGCCGGCCCGTCGGCCCCGAGTCCCCCGCCCCCCCCCGCCGGGCAGGGAGCCGGGGG